TTAACTAATACAAATAATGAGTGGTAATTAGGCTAATATAATAGGGAAACATACAAACAACACATACATATACCAGATACAATTTTAACTGATTAATTATAGTCGAAATAAAGAAATGTCTTTATGTGTGTGTGTGGGTGTGTGTTATGTGAGCATGTTGTAGTTTGCTGGTCAGCCAGGCCCATTGGTGCCTGGCCCCGGGGGTCATTTACGTCTCTTTGGAATGTGTTTGAACTTCAATGGGGAGACGAGAGTGGTGAAACTGTTTAGCATCTCCTTGATAGTGGGGGGCAACGAGTGGTAACTCAGCTAATCTAATAGGGAAACGTACAAACAACACATGCAATATACCAGATATATTTGTAACTATAATAGAGTAAAATGTCTTTACGTGTGTGTGTTTGTGTGTGTGTGTGTTAGTTTGCTTGGTCAGCCAGGCCCATCGGTGCCTGGCATCGGGGTCATTTACATCTCTTTGGAAAGTGTTTGAAATCAGATGGGGAGATGATAGTGGGGGACTGCTTAGAATCTCCTTGATAGCGAGGAACCATTTGGCAATTTAGACCCCATATAAACGTAAAGTCTGTGACCAGGACTGTAATTTATATTCAAATGTCAAAGGCTAAAAGGGGTCTCTTAAGCCATAAACCCCAAAGACCATGCATGATTCTATGCAGACGCTACAGCCCCCCTTTTGGCTGACGCAGTTCACCTGCACATATCGTCAGACAACAGTTTTCATGATGGTCGGACAGCAGGTGGATCATGATGATCGGATGGCAGGTGGATCATGATGATCGGATGGCAGGTGGATCATGAAGGCCGGATGGCAGGTGGATCCTGATTGTCAGATGGCAGGTCGATCAGGAAGGCCGGATGGCAGGTGGATCCTGATTGTCAGATGGTAGGTGGATCAGGAAGGCTGGACAGCAGGTGGTTTCTAATTTTCCTCAGCCTATGGATCCTCAGCTTGGGGTTTAACCTTGGTCAGGTTCAGCATTGTCTCCGCCTGGGTCCCTCTTTTCCGGTGACTCCGTTTGAAGATTCGAGGAAGGGCAGCTGTGCACCTGTTCATGGACCTTTGCCCCCCGTTGACTCTGTTAAACAGGACAAAGGCAAGGCCAAGAGTTAGGGTGTACCAGATTGCAGTGGCGAGGCAAAGTGCCGTGTCGCCAGAGGTCCAGGATCGGGCAACGGGAAAGGGGGTCTGGACAGGCAACCGAGACAGTGCTTGGAGGGCTGTGTTGATTGGGGTGATGTCAATCATCTGGGACCCCCCTTCCTCAATGCTCAGTTCCAATTCAGGTTCCAGAGTGAGACTGTGATCCTGGAATTTCCACCTCGGATTGGTACTCTTCACTTCCCCGAGGTGGAGGATGGCACCATTGGGCACTTGAATCCACATACTCTGGTTGGGCAGGCTGACACGGGGTGGCAGTGTCGTGCTGGTCATAGGTCAGTGTGGCGGTACGGA